CACAACAAGACTATGTTCAAGGTCATAGCTAGGGCTCGGAATTAGCTAGCCTACCACGGGTTCCAACCGTACCTACTAATCCACGGCCTATATGAGTCCAAGTTCCGATCAACAGTTCACCAAAATTGTTCCCTCTTCCTATGGAACGAAATTCGCACACCTTGTACCAATTTCCTTAACCCGTCGATATCCAATCTAACGGCCTACACAATCTGGTACAATCCAAAACCGGACACAGCCATTCTGGACCACCAATACTCAATCTAAAGGTCAATCTAAATCGTGCCAATTCGTGCCAATTCGTACCACCTCGGTACCAATATCCTACCGTCGATATCGGCGATAAAACTTGACTCCGAACTCGCGAATCGTACCGTCGATATTCCGACATCAAATTACAATCGAACGGCTACGAACTTACGTAGGATATTAGGGCGTAATTAGCTTGGGTAATTTCGCCTAAATCCAACACCTTGCATTGGTTTTGCTCTTGTAGGTCTTCTCAAGGAGATCCCACGCCTCCTTTGCGGTTTAGCACTCCTCAATCGACCCCAAATGGTGGTCCTCAACGTTCAGCCCGATGATGGACCACGCTTTCGTTTATTGAGCCGGGTGCGCTACGGGATCCTCAACCCCGTTCCATTGATCCTTGGAAGTCATAAGAAACTTAATCTTCGAACTCCACGTTCTATAGTTCTCCACATCCAACTTATCGATGTGGACCTTGTATCCGTCGGCCATTTTAGGGATTGCGTTCTCTTTCTCTTTTTCTCCGGACTAAAGGTGGAAAATTTCCTTTTAGGCTTTCCCTGCCACTTGATCCCCGTTACGGGCTTTCAAATGTCGCTGTGCTCAAAGAGCATCCACGATAAAGCAGAACGCCCCCACCGATGCCTTCATTGACAAGAGAGAACCATTGGCCGACCTTGGCGCACAGATTCAATTTTCACCCTCCCGGAGGTCTACTATTGAATGCTTGCGCCTTCACTCCTCAGGCGCCGTCGTGCGCCGTCGGTGCGCCGTGGGCCCATAACCTCTTGAAATACGGCGTTGTTTGGAATGAATGATCGAATGATCAAGTTCACACAGTACATATCGAGTGTTCGGAGACTAGCGGCGTTAAAGCTCTGCAGTCGGTGTGCTATGCTAAACTTACTCAAGTAGGGTCATAGAGGAGTCACACTCCTAGTCTAGGTCTACACTGACAGCCTAGTAGGCTCGGTTGACCGCGGATAAGCAAGTCCGCAAATGTCGCGCAAATCTGAATATCTACGGCTATTATCGAACCTACTCATTACGGCGGTTATCTCAATAAGTCATTCGGGTGTAAACGCTGTAACCCGGGCGCATCTAGCCGCCAACGCTAACTACCGGTTATCGTCGAACTCCCGTCGACGTCACCGAGAAGATCGCGCACACTATTTGCCCGAATCTCAACATTCCTCCCATGAAAACGGTACGTACCCCTCCTGAGAAGCAGCGCGCCACACTTACAAGTCACAGCAGCGACCGGGAGGGATATACAAGATCATAAAGAGCATTTCATAAAAGCATGCAAGACCTGAAAGGTTTCTGAAGTGTAGCTTAGAACAACCCTGACGAGAAAACCAGAACCAATCAAAACAGAAGAGAAAAGTCATAGATGGCGGTTGTGTTACCCGAACGTGCGCATTGGCCGGGGTATTGTCTCCCCGAACAATGCGCTTCAGGGCGCGATGCAGGGCCAACTGCGACGTGGGCTCGAGGGTCTCCGCCACACACTGCCTGTGAAGGTTCTCCTCCAGTGCTCCCTTCTCAAGACCCCCATATGCCTGGAGCATGCGCTCCCCAAAAGAACGCCTCAGCTTATATTCAGCATCGACCAGTACGTCTCCCGGGGTCACCTCGATGGTGACACTGAACTCGGTTTTGCCGTTAACCGGGGCCCTCGCAGCACGCCGTGCAGCCCCAGAAGGCCCGGCAGCTCCCCTACCCGGACCAGCCCCCACCCTCCGGCGCCCGCCTCTACCGCCCCGACCGCCTGCATTCCGAACCGCGGGCCCCCAAGTGGGGAAGGAACCCGGTTTTCGACATCGTCGTCCTCCTCCTCCTGCATCATCTGCTGCGTCTGATTGCTGGAAGCGGGCTCCAAGATCCTCGGCACGTGCTGCGTTAATACCTCCCCTTGACGCAGTGCTGACGTGTCCACCATGTGATCCTGCACTTCCAGCACCTGCTCGAATGATGCTTGCGTGCTCTGTACAAACTACCTCTACGTCATGTCCATTAATGACAGACGTGGCTTCCGACGTGGCAATCTGGATGCTACTTCGTGTAAACGCAAAGCTCGCGTCGTTAATTTGCGTCGAAATTCGCACGTACTTCTTGTTGGTGACGAGAATGTCGTTTACGATCCTGTCGCGCTTATTTTTTTAGCTGAATGACAAGTTCCTTTTTTGAAGCGTTGAACTACGCATTAACCAATTCACACTTGCTCTTGAAAGCATCTTTTGCCTCGTCCCTCTCCTTTCCCTCCAAAGTTCCAACCCTTCTAAGAAGAGCTGCGCCTTAGCTGCGTAAGATGTCGAGCTCCTGCGCCATGTTCCCGCCATCGCCGGAAACCCCTCTACTGAGCTCACTCGACTCTGCCTCGGGTGTGTCACACGCAGGGCTCCTATCTACCTACGTAGCCGGTACCCACACAGTGCAAACTATAACAGTGGTACAGGAAATCCGGCCAAGTTCTCAGTGTGAATAACTTCGCATGTAAAAAATCAACCTATTAGTATAATCGATTATATCACAGTGAGTCCCTTTGACATTACTTCATTAGGTATTGCATTAGGTTTACGCATTAGGTTTGCGACCTGAGCCGGTCAAATTACTATGTGATCAGGGTTTGACCCGTCTAGAGTTGGACTAGTGAGCGCCGGCGTGCGTGCACGGCGGTTAGACGGTTATACCGTTAGGCGGTTTGGAGGTTATAGGCGTTTAAGAGAGCCGTCAGTGTAAGCCGTAGATGAGTATATCGAAGGCTAAGATCAAGTGTGACTGTGAGCTAGGCTAGTGAGCTAGTAGGCTAGTGAGCCTAGTGGAACGGGAGAGACCCGTAAGACTTTGGATGATGACGTCGAACATGATTGGCCATTATACATCTAAGTCACACCGAGCATTTGAGTCTGAATTGAAAGAGAACTTCAACTCAAATTCCCTCCTGTATTGTCTCAAGTTTTTCAAACCGGAACAGAACTTTGGTCCGAGTCTTTTCGAAAAGACGAATATTGAATCAACATTGGACGAACGGAAGCAACCCGTTGCCCCAAAATAAACGGTTAAATATAGTCAGGCACGGCTTCGAAAGCGTCGTCCTTTGCAGAGTGCGACCGAAGCTAAAACCTTTTGCCATTTCCTATTGAAGGAAAACGTAATGACCGGATTGAAGCTGCTGAATATGCAAGCTAAAAGGTTACTCGGTCTTCTTCAAGGTCCCAGACAATCATAGCCTCCTTTACCGAGTTCATCACGGCCTCAACAACTGATTCCAAAAGTGTTTCGAATTCGGAATTTTACTGATCTAGATAGACTTCGATTTCAATCTTACAAAGCTTTGAACGAAACACTAGATGAAGCGGCCCGGTGCCGCTCAGCAGAAGAAATCGACGCCACCGCGGGAGCAACGAACCCCATAGAAAAGCGTACTCATTGGGAATTGTCAAATCACAATCACAATTGGGGGACAATCTTGACCCCCAACAAAGTGATGAGCTTTTGGCCCTTCTAGAAGAGCATTGCTTAAACATTCACAAGACAAAGGCGATCTTGGCATGGTCAAAGGCTGCTTACACAACATCGACAACCGAAAAACGAAGCCCGTCAAGCTCTCTCAACACCAGGTATTTCATGCCGAAAAGGAAGACGTAGCAGGGCGGACACAAGCGATGCTAGACTGGGAAGTCATCAAGCGAAGCAAGAGCCCCTATGCGGTACCCGTCGTCCTAGCAAGACGACACTTGGCAATTTTGTATCGACTAAAAGACAATTTAACAAGGTAACAACATCAAACCGGTACCTAATTCCCATAACTGACGCCATATTTGACCAACTCGGTCAAGTTGAGGTCTTCAGCAATATGGATGCCGATGCGGGAAACTGGCAAACCTCTATGGCCCTTGAAGGCATTTATAAAACAGCATTTATGATTCACCAGAAGTTGTTCAGGTAATGCGCATACTCTTCGGGCTGATTGGCGCCCCGAGTACATATTAGAGACTAATGAACGAAGTGCTCCACCAGAACATCCATGGGCACGACCCGTGTGTCACCCAATACCTGGATGACACATGTACTTTGACCGAACTTGGCACAAACATTTGGCAGTCCTGAGACGCATTTTAACCAAGCTCTATGCCATGAATCTGAAATTAGCCGCGGAAAAATGCCTCTTCGGGACCAGCAGCGCCGAACATTTTGGGCATATCATAAGGAAGAATCAGCTTTTTCCTGACCCCAAGAAAGTCTCGGCTGTCAAAGATTGGCCGCAACCTGTGGACGTGACCCGGAGCTTTCATTGACCTAGCTGGTTATTATCGCCACTTTATTCAACATATTACAGCCAAAGCCAAAATCTTACACCAACTAACAAAGGGAACGAGTGTCCCCTTTGTTTAGGGCCCCGAGCAAACGGGTGCCTTGCATGCTATCGATGAGGCTTTGTACTCGGCTCGCGTCCTCATGAGGTCCGACTTCGACAAGCCGTTCCTCCCGCATACAAACTTTTACAACCCGGGATTGGTCACCCTGAGCCAAATTGGCCGAGACGGCAAAGAGCACCCCATTGCTTTTTCATCGAATCACTGGAGCCAGCTGGGAAGAACTACTTGGTGACGGACGGCAAGCTTTTATTTTTGCAATCGTTTCGGCAGTAGCGAAACGACCTTGCCCATACCTATATGGACATCATTGTTAGTTAATGAGTCGAACCGATTCACAATCCTCCTCGTTTGGCTTCACAATCAAAAAATGTATCAAGCCGTCTCGTTGGCAGATGAAGCTTATTAGAATACAATGTTTGAATCAAACACGGGGCCGGGCGAGTGCACTCAAACCTGGATCTACTTAGCAAGCATATGTTGGATTTAGGTAGTACTACTATTGTGTGAGTACGCTCTAAGATCCTATATGATTTCGTAGCCGTTTCATTGAGTTTGATAGAGTGGTAATTACCCCCTGGCAATTACCCCCTGGCATTTACCCACACTGGCAGTTACCCCACTGGCAGTTACCCCCACTAGTGGTAGTTACCCCCTAGGCCACTGTAAACCGTTAAATAAGCATCTTTGTCGAATCTTGGAGGCTAGGCCGTTGATGTTCGAGTTGACTCACATAGAGCTAGAGTTGGACTCGACCAAGTAGATCTAGCCACGGCTTTATGACTTGGACCATTGACTTGTCTTGGTCACTCATTCCTAGTAGTTGTGCTTGACTTGAAACGCGCTCCAAGGCGCTTGCTTTCAACAGCATATTGCCCTCACCCACCCTCCCGAGTGTACACAGGACTAGGAAGCACTTTCACTTTTGGATTACATGGGCTTTTTACTTACTGTCCGACTCCTCCAAACCCCCATGGCCAATGATCATTCAGAGTTGCTCATCTGGAACGCTGCAGCCTGTTGCTACGTCAACATTGCTGCACAATCATCTGATACACTCAGCTCCTTTAGTGCCACTTCTGAAGACTGGTTGTTCGACATCCTCTTTTCGCCTTTCAGAGACCCGTCCCTTATAGTTATAGCCAAGATAACGACGATTAGCTTTTGATGGCTGGAATGGAGATCAAAAGACGGCACCCTGCACTTCCGTATGCATCAAAGATATGAAATGCACGGAGGAATCAAACACAATTGATTTTGAAGGAGACAAAGACAAGGACATTCACTTCAACGACGGAAAAAAGCGCTAGCATTTTGATGATCAATAAGAACTTCAATGGCTGAAAAAGAAGACGAAATTGATATGAAAAATCAAACGGACGACATGGTGGCCGTTCCACTAGTGCACGATCCTGAGAAATGGAAGAAATGACAACATTGATTGAAAGGCTCATCCCCAACCAACTCATGGCCATTGGGCACATGGAACATTGTTGGTGCTCCGACAAGTCAACATGGATATAGACTTTGGATGGGACCTGGAGCAAGCTGCTTGGGTCTTCGAAGCAGTCCAAACCCAGATTTAGCACAACAAATGATGTCTGTAATCAACCTCGACAAAGAAGATCTCTTCCTTTAGAAAACACATTTAGTATAGAAAGACCCTTCAATCAATGGAAGGAAATCATGATACTAAATGGATTGCTCTTCTATATCACACCATTCTCCAGAAGCGAATCACGCTGACCAGCATGATGGAAATCCCAAAATTCAACCGACGATTATCGAAACGCGGTTATATCGGAACGGTGACAAAAATTGGCGGGACCTTTGAGAATTCAGTCTCAAAAGGATATTGAACAAGCTCATAGAAAAATGCATCTAAGGTGTCATCGTGGCCTCAAGCCAATATAAACGCGACCAACGCAGCCTTTACGGCGAACGAAAACAAGGAAATTGTCAACATGGAACTCAACTCAATTTGGCAATCATTGCAGATCTCATCCCAAAGGTGGAAGAGTATCTCACAAATGACTACATGGTTGTCGACTACGTTTTAAACGGACGAACTCCTGACAAGTGGCTTTCCCTCTGAGAGCGAACGAGAATCCAAAAAGCAAAAACCTAACACGAAGAGCTAAGAGGTTCACGAATGTTGACGGCACCCCTATTGCAAGTAAAAGGGCCCAAAAAGTTGTTAGATATCGTGGGCCGTACCACTGGGCTATTCTTGCGCAATGATAGCGCAGTAGTAGGGCCATGATTTCTAACGAAAAGTGGACCCGAAGGCTGACGTTGGAATGACTTCGAGGGTTGCGATCAGGGAAGAGTCGAGGGTTCAAATTCGGCCGGATGCGTACATTTTGGCACTGCGACCTAGATTGCGCAAGTTGTAACGGCTGGTCGCGTGCATGTAGACGGGCACCTCTTAAGCGACAGTTGGGAAAGTGTCATGGAAATAAGCAAGATCCGCGGCTCCACCTTTTTAATGAATTTTAAGCAGCTACGGCTTGTTAGGCAGTCTTCTTTAGGTTGGGGATGAGCTGTGGGGGGCAGCTTTTCA